CAACTGAAAAGTATGAACATGAAAAGTATGAGCATGTACAGCACTCAGTATTTAGTTGGGCCTCCTTTGGCCTGTATTACTGCAGCAATGCGGCGTGGCATGGAGTCGATCAGTCTGTGGCACTGCTCAGGTGTTATGATAGCCCAGGTTGCTCTAATAGTGGCTTTTAGCTCTTCTGAATTGTTGGGTCTGGTGTATTGCATCTTCTTCACAATACCCCATAGATTTTCCATGGGGTTAAGGTCAGGAGAGTTTGCTGGCCAATTAAGAACAGGAATACCATGGTCCTTCAACCAGGTACTGGTAGCTTTGGCACTGTGTGCAGGTGCCAAGTCCTGTTGGAAAATGAAATCTGCATCTCCAAAAAGTTGGTCAGCTGCAGGAAGCATGAAGTGCTCTAAAACTTCCTGGTATGTGGCTGCGTTGACCCTGGACCTCAGAAAACACAATGGACCAACACCAGCAGATGACATGGCACCCCAAACCATCACTGACTGTGGAAACTTTACACTGGACTTCAAGCAACGTGGATGAAGTGCCTCTCTTCTTTTCCTCCAGACTCTGGGACCTTGATTTCCAAAGGAAATGCAAAATTTACTTTCATCAGAGAACATGACTTTGGACCACTCACCAGCAGTCCAGTCCTGTTTCTCTTTAGCCCAGGCAAGACGCTTCTGACGCTGTCTGTGGTTCAAGAGTGGCTTGACACAAGGAATGCGACAGCAGAAACCCATGTCTTTCATACGTCTGTGTGTGGTGGTTCTTAAAGCACTCACTCCAGCTGCAGTCCACTCTTTGTGAATCTCCCCCACATTTTTGAATGGGTTTTGTTTCACAATCCTCTCCAGGGTGCGGTTATCTCTCTTGCTTGTACACTTTTTTCGACCACATCTTTTCCTTCCCTTCGCCTCTCTATTAATGTGCTTGGACACTGAGCTCTGTGAACAGCCAGCCTCTTTAGCGATGACCTTTTGTGTCTTGCCCTCCTTGTGCAAGGTGTCGATGGTCGTCTTTTGGACAACTGTCAAGTCAGCAGTCTTCCCCATGATTGTGTAGCCTATAGAACTAGACTGAAAGACCATTTAAAGGCTTTTGCAGGTGGTTTGAGTTAATTAGCTGATTAGAGTGTGGCACCAGGGGCCATCAATTTTGAACCTTTTCACAATATTCTAATTTTCTGATATGATGAATTTGAGATTTTCATTTGTCGTCATTTGTAATCATCAAAATTAAACAAAATAAACATCTGAAATATATGAGTTTGTATGTAATGTATGAATATAATATACAAGTTTCACTTTTTAAATGGAATTACTGAAATCAATCTACTTTTTCATGATATTCTAATTTTATGACCAGCACCTGTACTATAAGGCGCTAACTACAGTCCAATCTGTTGTCTTCATGCCTAAATCTATTCCACCAAAAGGGGTGATTCCAACAATCATGGACTCGCCTGCAGGCAGTGGGCAAGCACTGCTGCCTGTGTAGAATGGTACATGTAAACTACCAGGCTATGACTTCTTTTAAGACTTACAAAGTCAACTATACAAATATGTATGATGAAATATTGTTTTCTACAGAGTGAAGTATTCATTTGTTATGAAAGTCACTTGCCTTGGTTGCAGTGGCACCTTTCCCCAAGTTGGCCTAAAGCTGCTGCAGCATGGTATAACTCAATTTCTGTTAAATAGGCTCTACTTTAGAACAGCTAACAAAGTCTGAGACAATTTTGATGAAGGCATAAATTATCATATAGTTAAAAACTTAAATTATTAATTTTACATAATACAGACCTTAACATCCTTCTGCTAAATATTAGCAGGCAGCTGTTTTTAATGTGCATTTTGCATTTATTTGCATTTTTTTCACAATGGCTTCTAAAAAAAATTAGGGAAGTAAAAGAAAAAATGAAACTAAATATTGATATTATTGTAGATCAAAAAATTTTTATTTCTACAGATTTTTTGGAACCTCAACATCAGATAAATTTCCAATCGCAGGTTTCCGGTACTGTCACTGGCAGAGAATGGTTTTGGCACACCAGCTGACAAGTTGGGAGAAAAATGCAAAACAGCAGGATGATACACAGAGAGAAAACTAAACATGCCAACAACGGCTGCAGCTGCTGGAAATTTATTTTTTTCCTCTGATCTCAATAAACCCCTGCCAGTCAGTAAAAACAGGAAATTAAGGTCCGAGGAGGAGTGCGCTTCCATGATGTTACATTACTGGGTCGTTTTGTGCTTTAAAAATTTCAAATAATTAACTCCTGCTTACTCCTCTTAGGGAATTCAAGAGCATTATTGGTGTCTTTCAAAAACTTTTTTGCAGTTGCAAAAAAACAAATTTGCTTCTATAAATTGATCAAGTAAATTCTCCAAAGATCACAGTAATTGTTTCAGTGATTAATTTGCTGTGTTTTAAAATTGTTTTGTAGTTATGGGTTAAAAAACAAAACAATAGCATGAACACAGCTGTGAAAATAATGGCAGTCGTGTTATGATTTGAAGAAAATGAGGCCTAAATGAAGAGAGGTTAGCCAATTGACAGCTCATTGAAATTCATGCCTCAGGAGAGATGGTCTCTATGTTGCCCTTTAAAAGTTGTTTGTGAACAAAAAAAAGCTCAGACAACAGATTAAACTTTAAATATATCATTTAGAACTGCATTTTAAAAGATAGCTATTTTTGCTTTTAGTAACCTATTGCATTCAGGGCACATTTTTGTATTTATTTATGTATTTATTACTGTTAATTTGGATGATTGTGGTTAGAATCTAAGACCTAAACTCTGTTTTTTTAGAAAATATAAGCAACATATCTCTGCATCTGTTTTTTTTTTTTCCTCCATTTTTTTTAGTTTCAAGCTCAATATAACATTCAAGTTTTATGGAAAAGCAGAATTATCATGTTATGGCAATTTTGTTTCTAAACAGAACAAAAAACAAAGAATGAACTATAAACAGATTTACTATATACAATACGAATAGTAATAATAACAATGTTGGTAACCAATATTATAATTATTATTAATATTATACAAATGAAACGTTATGCTATACACTGTGTTATACAATCAAAGGGCAGACTGGTGTAAGTGTTAGTCTCAAAGAGACTAAAGAAGCAACGTATATTTTATTTATCAAAGTTTGGTAAAGGGAAAAGTTTGATAGAAAAAAGGGGCACTGCTATAAGGATAACATCACTTGACATGAATGTAAAATCCATTTAAAAGGTAGCTGGAGGACTGCTTCAAAGATGTATCTAAGACATAGACGGCAAATACTGCACTGCCCCTTAGGGCCAGTTATGTCACAGTTTTATCTGAACTTTTTTATCTGAGCTAAGGACTAAAAACAACCAGAACTATTACTCCATGATCTAAAGTCCTCTATTAAAAAGGGAAAAAGAGAGAAAGGGCATTTTAATTTGAAAATGGAGGATCTTGAGCACAGAATGCAAGCTGTTTGAGATCCAGTGCAAGGATAAAGTTTTCTTTTTTCAAACTTTAATTGACAGAAAAGGAAACAGACTTGGCCTAAACACCCTAAAGGATTTACGAAGAATGACTAGAAAAGAGAGACACAGGACCAAACAAATCAGACAAGCTGAAGGCCATTATTAAGGTAACCTGGTCTAAGGCTATTTACCTTAGTGGCATATTAAACTAATGCAGAAATTCATGCAACCCTTACCAGATTTTGAGCGTATTTAATGTGCAACATATGAACTAACATTTAGGTAGTCTGTCCTTTGCTTGAAAGATTAATTTCTAATTGGTGTCATACAACATTCTTCTGTCAATTATACTCCAATTTACTGTTACGCACCTGTATAGGCAAGTTAATGACAGTCATCTGAGTAAACTTATTAGAAGTTCACAAAAAGTAAACTATGCATGAGAGCAAAGCTGCTCTCAGCGGTAAAATACTTAATAATTAAAAGCAACATACTGGGTACAGCAAAGACTTGTACATTTCTGTGCACATTTGAGACATTATTGAAAAAGTAATGACCAAAGTGCCTCAAAGGAAACTGAAAGAGAAAAAAAAACCCATAACAATTCAAATGCTAACAAACAGACCATTACAGGTACACAGTCATATTAATTATTAGGCAGCTCCAGAGGGAACCATGTGAACTCTGATTAATTGCCTCAAGTCGCGCAGGGCGGTGTTTGGTAGGGCAGAAAGGTTTAAGACTGCAGTGGTGCTTGAAAGCTTGTGAACAGCATTTTCCATATTTTTGTATAAATATGACCTGTCCACATCTCAGACTCCCTCTGGGCCTGCTAACTGCAGAGCATATGGCAAAACATGCTGTTTTTGTGCAGCAGTTCCACTTGGTTTATATGCTGCCCTTCTGTTGATATAAAAAAATAAATCTCACATTCAATACTTTAGTTTTTCTTGTGTTGAAAGTTTCTTTTTTTTTTTTTTTTAAGATTTAAGTTTTCAACTTTTTTTTTAACTAACGCAGGCAAAAATTCAATTTATCTTACTGTTTCTGTTGCAACATCGTGGTAAAACAACTAAGTGATTCACCTTACAGTTTGAAAACTAAAGGAAGGAAGAAAGTGAGAGATAAATAACTTAGAGATATAATAGCATTCAAAGTTTGTTGTCAAATCTTTCAGATTCCTTTTTTGCTACAAAAACTAATATGTTGATTTTCATTCATTTTGGCTTAAGCCCACACAGTGATAAGTTGTCCTTGGACATGATGTGAAATTGCCCTTTAAATGTGAATACTATTGCAGTGCACTATGCTAAGTTGACCAAACCCATTTTTAAAAGTTTGAGCTTTCATTTTTCCAAAATGTCTGAGATTGTTAAATGAAAATCTGATAAAGGAAAACTGTCAAAAGATTCTATTATTTTAGCATAATTTCCAAAATACCAAAGCCTCTCAAGCTTTATATTAATACTGTAAAAACAGTGTCACAGACCTCAAGAGATAAGGAAGCTAATACCAAGCTTTATCATGACTAATACATACCGTACACATAGAGGGTGTAGTCATCATAAGCCTCTCCGACAGCATTAGATGCCACACAGCGATAGGTGCCGTTATACGACTTATTCAGGTTCTCAATGTAAAGATCAGAGCCGGTGACCACAGCATGAGGAGGCACATCTTCGTCCACTCTAAGCCAGTTGATCTGATTGGGCCTAGAGAGCACAAATGCCACACGCATCACTCAGACGCTGTCTATCCATGCTAGAAATCTGAAATAAAGGTCAGATCTAAGATCGACAGAGGAGGGTGAGATCACTAATGTGGTACAGCATTTGAACAACTGCTTTAATGGTACAGTGAATAAAAAAAAAAAACATTAAGTGGATTGCTGGACAGGATACAACAACTAAACATAAATAAAAATCCAGTGCTTAAGTTAATCCATGTGTGAAAACTCACTGCGGTTTCCCCTCAGCGATACATGTCAAATCAAGATTGTCGCCCTCTCTTGTTAATCCATCAGGATAAGTTACAACAATCTTCACCTCGGGTTTATCTAAAAATAGACAAATGGCAAATGGAAGCTAAATAGTGTAAGTAACAGTGAGTTACAGATTTATTTCTACAGAGTGAAACTTGCAGAAAAATTAAACAATAAAGAAAACCTAAAGATAAAAAAACAGCTGTAAGTAATAAAGGATTATTCGATGTTCTCATTACACATACACTCAGTTTGCTCCACCTCAAAGCAAAGTGTGATTTTTTTTTTGACTCTCTTATCTGTGGACGCAAAAGATTACCAAAATGTCAAGCGGTTACAGTCAACCTTTCTCTTTTTCCTTAAAAGGTCAGACAAAACAGTTATCTACCTTAAAAAAAAAATATTCGACAGATTACAAAAGACTATCTTAACCTTTCTTTGATGCCTAACAGTGGCAGAAGGCAAATATTACCTCTTTAATCAATCAATAAAAAAAAAAAAATCAATCAAAAATCTCAAAAAATGCTCACAAGAGCATTTGATTTGGCAAAAATCTCAAAAACAAATCAATCAAAAAGATCTGAAACATCATGAAGCTATTTTATTTTATGTATAATCATTATTGTATTGTATTTACAGAAATATACAACTATTATACTGAATTTACACTTAAATCAACAAAAAATTTAAATTATTGAAATTAAAGCCATGATTAAATGGTAAAAGTATTTTCCAAGCTCTCAAATGCACATTTCAGATACAAAAAAAACAAAAAAAACAAATCTGGACTTTCAGACACACAAGTGAGAGGATTTAAGTATTTAGGCATTACAATAAATTAGAGCTTAAATGGACAAATCATCTTAGAGAAAGATTTTTTTTTCTCAGTTTTTACTGCAGTAGTGGCTTGTTTTTTTTCAACAGCAGGCCGACAGGAAAGGGGTATGAGGGGGAGAGACGTGTGGCAAAGGACCACAGGTTTCATTTAAACTCAAGTTAGCCACGTCAAGGAGTAAGGCATCCATAAATAGGCCATGCCCGCTAACCACACAACCAAAGCACACCCATCTTAGAACTAGATTATGTGGATTCCACTGGAATTACTGATATACATATATAATATAATATATATAATATAACATATATAATAATATAATATATAACAATATATTTGAATAATTATTTTCTGTCCTAATCCTAACCCTGTGAGGGACATAAGTTGTTCTTGAAAAAGTAAAAACATCTTCTGTACGTAGAATGTAGTGCAACTCAGTTTCTGAGCAGCCGGCAATGATCCACTTAAATCATAATATTTGTAGCCTCAGAAATATCAGCAGAATTTATAAGCCCAAACTAACTCTGCCTGCTTTCATTTTTCCTGTACAGCAGGAAAGCCCCACTCTAAGGCTTCTGGAAAGTTTTCTTTGATTTTCAGTTATTGTAATTTGCTAATTTTCTACCACTTTTTTATTTAAAAATAATAAAGAAAAAACTTTAATTGATTGGGTGAACTTGTTATTTTTCTTTCTTAGTTTATTGGCTCTCTATATGAGAAAGATTTATTTATGATATGGTATCAAATTATGTTTCACATTTTGTGTATTTAAGAAACACACAGTTTTGTTTAGTGTTTCTATTTCTTCGGTTTATCATATTAATACTAACTTATAAAATCGCAGTAGCCTCCTATAAACATTGTCCAAAGGATAAAACACAGTAACATTTAAATATCAGAAGTGTAATGATCTAACAAACCGAAATGTGAAAAGCATTGGTATCAGTATCAGTATTGACACTACTTGCTGTGTATTTACTTGGTATTGGGTTAAGCATGAATCATTAACTTAGACAGCAGAGATATATATGTATGTGCATTGATTGATTTACCTGCTGCAGATAGACCCTAAAGAAAATCTTTAGTGTTTAATAAGTCATTTGGACAATATGGATGTTGCGGTTGTTCAGTTTCCTGTTGCTGCATTGTTCCCAGCTGACTCTTGTGTAAAGCAAAAATAGGATCATGTCAAATATTGACGGATGGCTGTAGCACACCACCAGCTTATGAAGACAGCACAAATGTTTCCATTGATTACAATGGCAAGAGATTATTTTTAGAGTTTATAGCCGAACTCTTTAAGCCTTTTAAACACATTAATACCAAGAAGTTTCTCATCTCCCAAACATCAGTTTCCAATCATTTAGCCTTTGACCACTAAAATAACCCTGGCAGAAATGGATGACTCCCTACTTGGCAACCTTGCAACCCCTTAAAAATACATATAAATATTTCACTATAAACTATAGAGTGAAATAAATTATTTCTTTAATATAATTTGGACAATTTAATTATATGGTAAAGAATATATATCTAACTTTATAATAGAACATTTACTTTTAATCTAAGTGTGAATTACTAAATGTAATAGTATATCATTTGTACTGTATTAGTTAGATAAATGGTACGTCATCTAATGGGAGATTTAATGATACATTCATCCATTTAGTACAACATTCACCTTTATTCATTTTATAATTATTCATGTAATTTTGTTCTCCATACTCCTCAGGGGTCACAAGATGATGCTTTAAAAAAAAAAAAAAACTGGACTGTCCTGACCTTTACTTTGGGACAAGCATTATGCTGTTTTTGGCAGTGTGGTTCACACTCTTTAAAAACATGCATTTTTGGGTCACTTACAGAGCACTTCCAAGTGTCTTTGAGCCAGTAGGTCCTTTACAGCTGGATGGTCAACGATACAGTCCACTGGCACTCCATCATCCTCCTTGGTGACAGAAAACCTCACCCGGCTGGTGATGGTAAACATCCTGTCATAGTTCTCCTCAACTGTTGTTTCACCTGGAAAAACCAGCACAGGCAGGAGAGGAAATAAAAGTCACTGGCTGAAAACTTCAAAATCAAATCTCCAATCCCTCTGCAGCAGCAGAAGCTGCTGCTGCTGCAGCAGTGGCTGTAATGGGCAAATAGTCATAGCTATTAAGAGCATATTACCTGTCAAAGTGAAGTACTTTAAGATGGCATTTACATTTAATTTATGATTCGGTGATGTGGTACCCGAACGAGACTTCAGAGGATTCAGACGAGCCTGAGGCCTTCGATTCTGACGAGAGCAGCACAGAGCGGCTGGGTCATATCAAGCCCAATAATGATTGCTTGAGCAGCTCGAGGCTGGAGCATTGTTGGGGCTCACCCTGCAGTAATCTGCTGCCCACTAGGCCCGAGGCTGTCAAAGGGGCATTCATTTAGAGAGCATTACAATGCCAGAGGGGCATCGCATTAGCCGCAGTGCTGAGTGTGATGGTTTACTCGCACTTAATGAAGTGAGGAAATAATTACAGCCTAACGTTGACCTGCGGCACACTTCCATTTCAGTCTTTTCACAGGGGAGACTGGCCTAGACCTACGGAGGGCAAGAATGCGTTGTTCCACAGCTGATGATCACCAACACACACGTATATGACCCCTTGATGGATATTAACCCTCAATACACCCACCCATGAAAGGCCTACTAACATAAAATTTAAAGCACCGGGATCAGTGAGTGGCCACTGCTCTTGTAGGCATTAAATTTGATGACTCTACCAACTGCAGAGAGAGATCATGGTGTTTGAAAAGCACACTTGGTGAAGTAATAACAGTAAACAAATCTCTTTTCATTCCTAAAACTGGGAGCCTTTCACTTTTTTTCTTGTCGAATTGAAGAAAGACATTAAAGAACGTAGTGCACATACCGAAGCAATAAAATATTCATGTTATTTGATGACTTGCTTTTCTGGTTGTTAACTGTAGCAGGCAGAACCTGAATATCACTAAAGAAACAACTTTGTTAGAACAGCTAATAACAGTGAGTTACAACACTTCTGTAATAATGCTATTTTAAAGGGACTACAGAAACTTAAAAAAACACTTCCCCACCTTTTAACTTTTTTTCCAAATTTTGTTAAGCTAAAGTTTTTCTTTTGATGATTGGATGTGAGACATTAACAGAAAGTAATTAAAGTAGTAATTATGAGGTTGCTTCATTTATTTATTTTTTCAAAATTCAATTAAGAAAAGGGAAGCATACATTTCAATTAAGCCCTTTTAAATTTTCAATCGTTTTGTTTTAAGATTCAGATTCAGATACCAGTAGGATAGTTTAACACAACAAATTTGATAAAATCAGGTTTGATGAGTTGCTTTTAAATGTGATTACTCTAGTAAATACAACAACAAATGATTCATTCCTTAAATCTTCCGTTTACAGAAAAAAAAACAAGTAGAAAGTGACTCTTAAAAAAAGTCATAAGAAATGTAATGAGCAATTTGGGACAAACCAAATAGCTTTTTTGCAGGGTTATAATTGTCACATCTTGGTTGAGGTTTGGAGGACCCAAATGCAGAGGCAGAGAGTCTGAGGTGAATACTTCTAGTTTTAATGAAAATGGTAAACAAAGGCAGTCCAAAAATCCAACTAAAAATGTAACAGACCAGAACCATGGAGACATCAAGGGAAAACACGTCCAAGGAGTCAGGGAGAGACGAGGGGAGACGACTACAGCGAAGACAGGACCAGCAACAAGAAGGAACCAACAAAGAGTGAGAGCAGAGGGAGAGCATATATAGCTGACAGAGACAAAGGGAGGGCTAACGAGCTGACAAGGAGCAGGTGTGAGAGGAGACAACAAGGGAGCCAAGGGGAAAGGAACACACACACACACACACACACACGCGCACACGCACACACACACACACACACACACACACACAAGAGGGCTACAGAGGACAACAGAAAAACATGAGAACTAACAAATCTAGAAATTACAACAAAAAAGGAATTAAACCAATAAAACTAGTGAACATACTGTAGAGCAAAGTAAAGCACAATATAACCAAAACCGTGACAATAATACTCTGTAAGATAAAGTCACTATGGTGAAGTGGTTTAAAGGAGATTGCTACAAGCTAAACTCCTCCTCGCCAGTAAGTGGTGCACTCACGTCTGCTCTTGTTCTTAACCTCAAATATACTGTCTGCTAGCCAGTTGCCAGCATGAGTAAACATTTAACCTACCAGCCCAGAAGAAAAGTGGAAACCTTAAAGGTGTAGTGGAGGATTTTCTTTTTCCAGGTGGATCATCAGAATAAGTGGTCCTTCTAATTGTCAATCATTCTGTTTATTTGTTTACGTAGGCCGTCCTATGTGCTTCCCCAGTTATCTATCTTTTTGTGCATATGCGCAATTTGAGGCGTATTTTTGTGGTGAGATACAGTCAGACAGTCATTGAAGCTCGTCTTTCTCACCGCGGTTCTTTGAAAATGGCAGAAGGTCGTAAGAGAAAATGTGTCAGGTTGCAACATTTCTACTCGACAGGTAAAGTTTATTTGGAGAAATGCATTTCACATCACTGCTAGTAAAACAAGGAGAAAGGGGCTTGTGCATGCTCTCGCATGCGTTTAATAGGTGTTCCCTCTCGGTAGCAGTACAGGGTTGTCCATATGCATTTTTTTTTAAAGTGGAGAGGTCTTTTAAAAATTTTTTGAAAATCCTCCACCACACCTTTAATGACAACAAAAGAAATGCGGCGAGGCCATTTCTCAGAGGTAGTAGGCTCTGGTAACATCGTAACTCCTCCTCATTTAACCTACGACTTGTTTTGGTGAAAATCCTTTAGAGTAGGTGTTAAATGTATAAATTTTAGACCCATCAAAATTCATAAAGCAATTATTTATATACTATTTGTCTTTTCAGTAAAATTTATAATTAAGAATAATATTGCGCCAGGAGGAGCATCCGATGTAAAAAGTCTGTTAGCAGATCATAATGATATGCTGTGGTACCCCTGAACATGGTGCAAATAGTAATATCCATCAGGATTTTAACTTAAAGTAAAAATATAACATTCAATACAAATAAAATCAAAAACTTACTTTGAAATAAGAGAAAAGGGTTAGAACAGAATTCAATTCAATTCAGTTTATTTATATAGCGCCAAATTCACAACACATGTCATCTCAAGGCACTTTACAGTTCAACCAGATCATACAGTCAAATTGATACAAAGTTTTCTATCTAAGGAAAACCAGTTGATTGCATTGACTCATTGACTCAAATACAATCCCCCACACTAAGCATGCTTGTAGCGACAGTGGAGAGGAAAAACTCCCTTTTAACAGGAAGAAACCTCCAGCAGAACCAGGCTCAGTGTGAGCGGCCATCTGCCGAGGCCGACTGGGGTTCAAGGAGACAGAAGCAGAGATACAAAAAGCAGCTGTAAAAGGCGTCCAGGAAACACACAGCCAGGCAGACGAGCTCCAAGGCAGCTCCCATGCCAGAGGACGAAGAGAGCACATCCACTCAGTCACGGTCAGAGAAACAGGACCACACTGGAAAACAGGCCGATCTCCAACATCTATTAACAAGGGTGTTGATAGAAGCAGCACAGCTGATGTTTTTTTCCAGGATGACGTCACAGCCAAACAGGAACAGACGAGGCAAAGCTACTCTGAGGAAAAGCAGAGAGAGCAGAAGGTTAGAGATTGAACTAACAGATTCTGCAGAATAGGAGAACAGAGAGAGAATGAAGCAGAATGATGAAATGGGGGTCCCTATGTCCTCCAAAAGTCTAAGCCTATAGCAGCATAACTATAGAGATAGCTCAGGATAACCTGAGCCACCCTAACTATAAGCTTTATCAAAAAGGAAAGTTTTAAGCCTAGCCTTAAAAGTAGACAGGGTGTCTGCCTCATGGACTAAAACTGGTAGTTGGTTCCACAGGAGAGGAGCCTGATAACTAAAAGATCTGCCTCCCAATCTACTTTTAGAAATTCTAGGAACCACTAGTAAACCTGCAGATTGAGAGCGAAGTGCTCTGTTAGGAACATAAGGAACAATCAGATCTCTGATATAAGATGGAGCTTGGCCATTTAAGGCTTTATATGTGAGAAGGAGGATTTTAAATTCTACAGAAGATAATTTAAGAAGGCTCTGAAACACATATATCAAAACTCAAACCATTTACTTCTTGTCAATTAACCACCCAAACGAGAGGAAACCACTGTGGATCAGGTCAGAGAAGGACTCAAATCTGAATGCAGAGGAGATTTTTAGAGTTGCACCAGAGATGCCAAATCAAATGCTCTTGTGAGCATCAAGTAGTGATCAATCCCAGAGCAATCAAGCATGGCCTCTTCTCAGGGTGACATTTTCTTTCACTGAGATTCTAACCCGAGTCCTCCTGCTGCCGATGCACTCCTGGGCAGTCTGTGATCAAGCTGTTTCAAAAAGGCTCAGACAAGTAAAGCTCTAGCATAAGTAAATCTGCTGAAAATAGACACAATGTGTATAAATATATATACAGCTAACTGCTATAAAAAAGAGAAAATATGAGTCCTATTAGTTGATCTGGAGTCTGAAAATGAAGTTGTACAGTTAGCTGCTGCAGTGGGGCCTCAGAATTACAGTAAAGTAAAAACATAATGACTCTTGCAGTGACAGAAGACCCTTTTAGGTGGAAAAGAGAAAGCTTTTTTGCTGACCAGGACATTTTTGGAATATACCTTTACCAATAATATATAGGGACATGAGCCTTCTAAATATGAGACATAATTAAAAGTTTTGTCATAATGATTTGTTGCAATAGAGCAGGTTACTTTTTAGTTTAGACAACTTTTAAAAGGTTAACTTCTGTCAGCCACACTTTACTTTTTCAATTATCAGCTATATGTCTATAAGTCTAAGTCTATAAGTGTTAGATAGAAGGCGTCTTGCCGGAGTTTATGAACTTTTTATAAACCAAGCCAACAGTGAAAAAAACACAATAAATGGAGAATTTTAAAAATATGAGTGCAGAATAGAAATGACATTTATCAACAATTATTCAATATTTAATATTTAATTGCATTTAGATGAATAAATATTGAATATTTTGCAGCAGTGCCGGTTAGCAATCAAAGCTTAAAGCTGTTTAAGACTAAGACAAAAAAAAACACAGCAGTAAAAATAAGAATAAAATACTGAAGGTGAATCTAAAAAAAAAGTTCCAACTGTAGCCTTCCAACTTCGCGTCTAGCAAGTTCACATAAAAGTATCTTAAATTTAGAAAATAGATCAACTTTATGTGCTTCATTAAATGTGTATCATACCTACTGGTTTCTGTTATGTTGTCGAATCTTATTCCAAAGCAATTAAGTTGCAACATCAGATTGTTAATGTGAAGTTCTTTCTACACCCAAGTAACACAATGAGATGCCTCCTGAAATCGAAATTCCATCTAGGAAAGAATATTTTGTTAATAGTATTTTGTTGGTAGTAGTTAAATAGCAATGGAAGAATTTGCAATTCTTCCCTTTTGTACTTGCAATAAATTTAATGCATCTTTATGAACATATTGCATGTGTCATTCATTTGTTTTTATATATTAACTGAATATATGTCACTCTGACAATTCCTGAGTAACAATATTGTTAGTCATCAAGAATGCTCCCAAAAAAAAAAAAAAAATTCAGAAAACCTTCAATCTGCTCCTGATGTTCGCTGCCCTACTTGTGTAGATAGTGCACCGAAATGGCTTCGGATCAGAGGTGCATTTTATCCAACTCTAGAATATATTTTTTTTCAAAATAAGCCTCAGTCATGTACTAAGGAATGCATATAGTATCATAATTTTAACAGAATCAGTAATACAATTTGAATGTGGATTATATTACAACATAGGTTACAACTGCACAGATAGAAAATATCAACTGATTTGAGTAAAATGTGGGCACCATATCTAATATTCATTATAACTGCCTTGTTTAAGACAGCTGCAATGAGAGAGGCCCTGATGTCTGCCTTGGAATCTGAGTATGAGCAGGGACTAATGAATAGTTTAGCACATCCATAACACTAACTGATTTGTGTTTCCTGGGGTACAAGAGGACGTGACTTTCTATCTGCCACTGTGGATTAGCCCTGCTCAGCATGTCAGTGGCATTTTGCTGATCTAACCATCCTGTTGTCTCTCCCTTCCCAACACAACACTCTACAACTCATAAACAGAAATTGACTTTGACTCCTGTAGGGAACACTGGAGGCACAGATGGCATTTAGCTTCAGATTTGCTCTTGTCTAAATATTTAATCTCTCAACTGCCAAATGTATCCTTTTATTCAATAAATATATATTTTTATAACAAGCTCAAAGACATTCACTCTGTATCATAACAATGTAAATAATATAAAACTAGTCATTGCTGTAAATGTGTAATGAATAATAGAAAACACCTAATTATAACTGAGAGGTAGTATGATTTTTCATTGCTTCAGATTATATACCTTTCTGCAGGCAACAGAAGGCGGTGAAATGAAGATCAAATTTGCAAATAAACCATGTTTACCACGAGCGCCTGGATTGGAAACAAAAAGAAAGTCTTAGAGTAAAATACTTTCTAAAACATATTCCATCAGCAGTCGAGGTGTAGCTAGATTTTTCTAGCAAATACGTATGCATTTTCTTAAATCCAAACATTGATCCCTGAAATTAAATCTACACCACGGAAGTTACTTCAAGGAAAATCTATATTTAGGAGAAAATTAGAGCAAGGAGTGCAAAACATGGGTAAGCAGCAGTGACTTTAACACTATGCGTCTCCAACTGTATATGACAGGCAAGATGATCTTCTCATGTACATATGCCAGTCAACATAATCTGTACACATCATGTTTATAGAACTCGTTTTTTGTTCACAATGGAAGAACCTCCAGAGAGACTAACCTGTACGGAAGCAGACAGGCAGAGAGCATGTGAAGCTGACTGAGGGAGGGTGTTATTCTACTAACCTGTCAGTTCATCCTCCCCCTTCATCCATCTGATGGAAGCGGCTGGCTTGCTGCCCATGGATATGCAGGTGAGCTCCGTCTCATTCCCCTCGCTGACCTTATCCTCACGGCTTTCAATGATTGGGCTGCCTGGTGGGACTGACATCAAGTAACAGAAACACTTAGATAGAAACCCACAAACCTGGTTCTTATACATAGATTCTTTAAAGGTAATTATAAAACCACAGGTACACATGTGTCAATAATTGTGAGCATGAGGTATGCTACATCAATAAATAGTTTATGTTTTTGGCAATGATAGCACTTGCCGGTCCTATGACCTTCCCATTGTAAAGGCAAGTATTTATTTTTTTTCTTTTTTCTTTTCCAGCTGGTGCTAGTACTCTATCTTATCAAAGCCTATAATGTTTCATTTTTGGAACCACTGCTTCATAATATAAAAGTATTCTTATATTGTATTAAGATATAGGCTTCAATACTAAAACTGAAATTTCCTGGGTTTTTACGTACATTTCTTAAATGTAAATTTTAAAGTTTGCAAATAACCTTTGGCAGATATTTCAACAAAGATGCATGGATAATTAAGTGAGTACTGTCAATCACTAGAAAGATCACACTTTTAGATAGTGGCCTTCAGAAAAGTATTAATAGATCACAAAGATTTTTATGAATTATTTTGATCTGGGAAAAAAAAATAATTCAGTGATTTTTAGGCTTTTTCAGACTGTTAAGAAACACTGATTGGAGTGGCATCTACAAGTACTGGCACCCCTGGTAAAGGAGTTAAATCATCCTACAAAAATGTACCTTTGTTGTAGCACAAACTTAAATTGACACTGGGAAAATTTACATAAAATTAATACATTTATTGGTGCCTCTAACAATTCCCACAAAATGAATGAAAAGGATGCATTTTGTTTGGGAAACTAATTGCATGAGTTGTTCAAGGTGTCCAAAATGTGTCAGAAATATATGATGTCCTGCTTTACTGGATTATAAATATACTGTGTTTCATCTTTTTTTTTTTTAGAAATCTCTTTATTTAAATTACTCCTTAAAATCAGAAAGACAATAGAACATGTCTATACAGTGAGATAGATACAATATGTGTCGGTCCTTATAAGAATAGAAACAGGTTAAGAAAATCACATAAAATCAACTTGCCCAAAGCTACAGTGTGAGGAATATTAAGAAAAAAAAAAGACTTTTTTGCAAAGGAGGTGAATGACCTTGTGTTTCTCTGACAGTAGGATGAATGAGTGGGGTCAGATTTTTTTTTTTTTTTGCTGGTTCTTGTTGGAACTGAGTCTTCATAGCAGCCTGTTTTTTATTCATTTTATTTATTTATTATATATATATATTTTTTTTTGGGACACATCTACCAAAGGTGCAGTAAAAACACAGAGCGCTGTGGTTTAATACTGTATGATAAATCAAATTATTTGAAGTTTTAGCATCCTAATACAATAAGTGGTCAAGTCAGAATCATACTGTAAAAGAGTGAAAGTAAAAAAGAGTGTATAGTTGCAGTTGTTAAAATAAGGATATAATAATATTGTCTGCGGTTTACACAGCCAATAGTTATGTTTGGTGCCAAAGCAAGACGGTAAACAGGATGCTGACCTGCAGATGCGGGTCACTGAGCCTGTCGAGAGTTACAAAATGTTCCTTCTGTGAAAAACTGGAGGATAACATCTGTTGTAATTAATGTGATAAAGATCAATTGGTACAGAAATTAGAAAGGCTTGGGACAGTTTCTGGGATAAAACTGACTCTCTTTCAGTTTTTTTTCACGCAGCAAATAACTCTATAAATAAAGGATCTTTTTTTTATACAGCATATTGTTCATTTTTGCAAATAATATCTCAACAATCATTGCTGGACCATTTTTATCCCATGGACATTTACTGAAAACCAGAAAAATGAATAAAAATATTTTTATTTTTAAATGTAAATATATAATTTGAATAAACTCACAGAAAGAAAACTAAAACCAACAATGTATTTTAAACTTGAAGTTAGATTGATATATGTATGTATATATGTATTTGCTTGGCTCTTTGACAGCTTTGAAGAAGTTAATATCATTAATTTAAAAAAAAGGGAAAAAATTTTCAAAACATAAGGAAAAACTATTGTAAAACAGCATTACTGCAAAGATTTTTATCAAAGTTAAATGTTAACAATCAAGTCAGAATTCTTTGTTCCAATATGCGTCTTACCATTTTAATTTATTACATATATCACAGTTTAACATGCTGTAGAGTAGTCTTTACATCTTTAAAAGGAAATCTTTTCAATTACCAACAATGAAATTTATTCCTTAAAGTAGTAAATTAACTAAACTTAGAAATCCTATTGTGTCTACTTGAGATGTAAGGTGCTATTACTTTTATCTCCCATGAAACATCTTTGCTTTCCTGGATAAATGCTACTGCACCAAGTCTTCTAGCTGTAAATCCAACTACCACAGACTTCAGTGTAGAAGCGTTTCTAATAAAACAAAAATCATTCTGTCCAATAAACAGGTACAACAGGTCAACAAAGCACTAACATATCAATGTTATTCTTAGCTTAAATATTTCTTATACGTCTAGTGACAAAACTATACCCTATATACAGAATGGCTGGATAATAATTCAATATTTTTTTATGTTGCAATATCATTTTATCCATTTGTTTAGATATAGGCTTCAATCTGTGGTTACAGACGTTTTCACTGACTGACATTACGGCCAATGACGTTTCAAGCTGGACAGAAAGAGCTGCAGCACAGTGACTACATCAGCAATGACGTTTACCATGCAGGGAGCCTGTGCTCTGCAGCTGCAGGCGAAGTTGCTCAGCTGCTAAGCTCTGATATGGTAAGGTGTAGCTTCAAAACCATCACCCCTTTGCACATCTAAAATACAGAATTTCTAAAATGTTTTTTTTTTTTTTCGTGGGACGAACAAGCTGTGGTCCGTCATATGGTTTTGTCAAGTATAGCAATAGTCCTCAAAACAACCCAGGCAACTTTAGGGAAAGAATGTAAAACTGCTACAATGGCCCGGTTATTAACATGATTGAATAACTGAATTCACTAAATTGAATTGAATTGTAGTCACACCATAAGTGATTTTTTAAACAATAACTTGATATGTAGAGGGATTAACTATAATTTCAATGTATATTCTAATACAATAAATAAATAAAATATAATTTCCAATAGTTCTTTCTCAGAAAGTCCATGAATTTTATGTGTTTTATTTGACATGAATGTGTGTAGATTTTCAAGGTTCTGGATGACATTAATTTTATATTAATAGAATTAAATAGAAATATGTTTTATTTTTATGCTGTGTGGAAATGAAGAGGAGTTCCATCATACAACATTTTTTAAAGTAAGCAAATGTTAACATGTCAGTACATGTACCTATTTAACCACTGTTACTTTAAATCTATAGCTTGTTTAATGAGTCTATTTAATTATATGTCCTAATTTTTTCCCATGAGTGTGATTCAAGATGCTCCATCTGGTGCTTCTTGACCCTCAGTGGAGTCAGAACTCTAAGCATGGGGCTAAGAGGATCAGCCAACTTGCTTTTGCATACTTGACTGGAGATAAGGTCAGAGCATTTTCACTGATCTAGAAGAGTGTAGCTTCAGCAAAAAAGGAGTTCAGCTGTTATAACAAATAGGAATATGGCAATTACAGTTTACTTTAGGTTGTGCAAAAATGAACACATTTCTATCTATAACTCATGTTTTTAAAACCAGTTTCATCTGGAGATTCTGTGATCTAACTTTGGACAAAGATCCACCTTATTGACTAAACATCAGTTTATTATAAAGCTGTCATACTCCAACATTTCCCATATATATAATCCAAAGGAATACGATGCAGGAATAAATCAAAGTATATTCAGTATTAATCATGTGCCTTCACTTATTAAGTATCATTTTCTGCTTAACCAAAACATTTTAAGGCAAACAAATCTACGAAATTGCAACCTATCTATGTTCACTTTGATTTACAATCAGAATTAGGCCTATTTTTCTATCCTTCCCTGTACTGTATTAGTCATCCTCGCTAACTTTATGGACTTCAGATACTTGAAAGCAAGACGTCACTGTAGGGACTTATTTCAAGAACTCTTCAATACAACCCTTGATTCAGATAAAAAAACTGCAGCTAGGTTTCAATCGTACAACTAGAGTAATTACTTTAAAGTGCTTTTAATTCCTTTCAATCCCCCAGGATGTCTGCATGTATAATAAAGCTTAACTAAAGTAATTTCTCTCCAAAGCATCAAAGTGTGGCACAGCTGACTCTCAATGGGAAATCGTTTGGAGCAGCCAAGTCAACATTCACCGGGATTCACAGAGTCAACACAGCTGCCAAACCAACACGGTCTGAGCCATCAGTTTCAGCATCTGCTCCTTTTCGTTATGCTGTTGAGCACCGCAAGAGCCTAATTGGCTGACATTTTGTTTCAGTTGCTTAAGATAACAAGATCAGAGATATTATTTCATATTCACCCCTCACAATGAAGCGGCTTACAATGAGAGTGTGTGTTTTTCTTCGCACGTGTTTCCTCACACCTTACCCAGGACAGTGATGTCTGCGTAGGCTTCCTGAGGAGGATCTGTGTAGAGCTGGCACACATAGCGTCCCTCGTCGGAGAGCGACACGTTGGACAGAGACACCCGGAGTTCGTTGTCAGAGAAATTCACCAGCTGGAACCGGCTGTCCTTGAGAGCTGTGGGGATACAGAGTGCAGGGACACAAGGATGAGACGCACGGGGTGAGAAGAAAAAAAGGAAAAGTGGAGAGAAAGGGAGGCAGAGGATGACGAAGGAGACTTTAACTGGAAATAAGACAGGAGGTGGGAAAAGGGGGAGATTGGAGGGCAGGAGCTGGCCTTAATGCTGGATTTCTCCTTAATTGAGTAAAGGAAAAGAGAGTTTCAAAATGCTTCCTATGAGTTGATTTATAAAGTACCTTTACAGTCCACAGAGCACTTGCAAAGAAAGGAAAGTGTGAAGAGTGTTCATGAAGAGTCCTAACAAGCTAGGAAACTTAAAATGGGCCGAGGCTGGTTATGGATGGCTGCGTGGAGCTCAAATATTCCTCTGAAAGGAGAGAGGCATTCAAAAATACATAATGAATTAAATCAGAGAGGAAGATGCTTGGATGCTCAAAACTCTAAATCAAAAGTAGCCAAGATTGGCTGGACTTTCTTTTAATGTAGTCAAACTGGGTTAGCTGTTCGCTCTGACTTTTTAACTCACCACTTTTCATTTGGGTCAGCGCTCTTCCCTGAGCACTCTTTTGCATAAACAGCCTTGGCTGATTTGATTGGGGAGGCCTTTTGATGCCTTGACCTGCCTTTTTTATCAAGTCCTCTCTGCATCTGTCGAGTTAACAAGCTCTCCATTTTAAGCTAAGGGAGTTTATTATCCCCATCTGACTTCACACTTTGCATTATGATCATTACTTGGGGTCTCAGGGCGGCCTTAATATGAAACCTTATCTTCCCAATATTATCTCAGGGCTCTTTCGAAGTCTCTCCTTAAAGGAGAAAACAATAATACACTTTGGGAGGCAAAGGACCTGCTTCATACGGAACAGTACATGGCTTAAATGATGAGCATAGAAATATGACTCAACAAAATAAACGGCTAATTCCTTGGATAGGATTACCATAATTTGTTTAAAAATTTGCATGCACTCATTATGCAAAAAAAACCATTACCAGTAAGTAAGTAAGTAAATAAGTAAGTGTTATATAACACCTTTCACAGACCAAAGCTGCAAAGTGCTTCACAACACAGTTTAAAAACATCAGAAAATATAAAAGGCCAAAACAATAGGAAATCATAGCCGTCATCATAGAAGGTAGTTAATTGAAATTGTACAAATACATGGATCTTAAGTAAGCTCTTCAAGGTAACAACAGAGTCAACTGAGAACAATAAAGGTGGACAATAATTCCAAAGCCTGGGAGCAACAGCCTGAAAGGAACGTTCACCTCTAGTATGAAAACAGGTGTGTGGAACCTTCAGCAGATTCTGATCCACAGACCTAAGAACCCGCGCAAGGGTGTAAGGGTGGATCAGATCACTGATGTAAGAAGCAGCCTGACCACGTAAGGCTCTGAAAGACAAAGCTAGAATGTTAAAAGTGATCCTATAAGACAATACATTTCTTTTAGAAAACTACACCACATAAAATATGTTTACAATAACAGGTTGGTTATTGTTTGACTAAGACACTGGGGATCACAATTAACAGCTGCACCTACTGAGAGATCACAGACTGCTGGATTCTTCAGACCAACTAAAGATGACGTAATGCATGAAACTCTAGTGAAAACTTAAAAGAGGGCTACAGTTTGAAGCAACAAACACAGAATGAGCAAATAGAATATATTCCCTAATTTCAAATTGGGTTTATTTCAGTTCCATTCCCCTATAATTCGAATAACATTTAATTTAAAATATGCAACATTTAACCAACAAGAAAAATTACTTGGAATGTGTTGATGTTTCTTTGTTAAATTCCTGTTGATTTTGATTGGATAGATAAACATTGAGGTAACATATATAGTAACTTGGCCTGCAAGCTGATTAATGCTGTCGTTGTGCATCAACAAACACATGAAAACCAATCACATGCAGACCGAATATGGATTGGCTAGTCATGTTGCAGTGTTATGGCTTATGGTGGGACATATAGCTATGATAAAAAGAGCTGCTGAGTCTACAGCCAAACTAAAAAAAAAATAAAAAATGTCAGTGCACGAGGACATGCATGTAGCTGCTGCTATCACCTCTGCTTTGTCAGAATCCAGAATTTTGCCTTTGAACAGGAAACAGGATAGCATAAAAGCCCAAAAGTTGTGGTTTTCATGGTTTCTTGTTACCTTGATTGACTAAAACCAACCTTTGGTCGGCATACAGGAGGTGTCGCTTTGATGCAAGTATTCCTAGATTATTCATATGTAGAACTAAATCTGAATGCTACACATCCCGATACAGTGTGCCGTTGTCTAGCCTGTATAGGTCTGTGCGTCCCTCCATGGATATGCCTCCCCAGACCACCACTGACCCACCACCAAACCTGTCGATGTCCAAACTGGACAATGTTACATGCAGCATAACGTTCTCCATGGCTTCTCCAGACCCTTTCACGTCTGTCACATGTGCTCAGGGTAAACCTGGTCTCATCTGTGAAAAGCACAGGGCTCCAGTGGCGGACTTGCCAATTCTGGTGTTCTGTGGCAAAGGCCAATCAAACTCCACGGTGCCGGGAAGTGAGCACAGGGTCCACTAGAGAACGTCGGGCACTCAGGCCACCCTCGTGAAGTCTGTTTCTGATTGTTTGGTTTAGAGACATTCCCAGTAGTGGCCTGCTGGAGGTTATTTTGTAGGGCTCTGGCAGTGCTCCTCCGGCTCCTCCTTGCACAAAGGAGCAGATACCGCTCCTGCTGATGAGTTGTAAACCCTCTACGGCCCTGTCCAGCTCTCCTGGAGTAACTGCCTGTCTCCTGGAATCTCCTCCACGCTCTTGAGATTGTGCTGGGAGACACAGCAAACCTTGTGGCAATGGCACGTATTGATGTGCCATCCTGTAGGAGTTGGACTGCCTGTGCAACCTCTGTAGGGTCCAGGTAGCGCCTTATGATAACATTAGTGACAGTGACCATAGCCAAATACAAAACTGGTGAAAAAGAGTCAGAAAAGATGAGGAGGGGAAAAATGTCAGTGGCCTTCACCTGTTAAACCATTCCTGTTTTAATGGCCGTCTAGTTGTTGCCCCTCTAGTGCACCTGTTGTTAATTTCATTAATACCAAAGCAGCTGAAACTGATAAAGAACCCCCTCTGCTACTTACCTGACTAAATCAATATCCCAGAAGTTTAATTAACTTGATGCTATACTCTAATTATAAGGTGTTCCTTAAATTTTTTTGAGGAGTGTATTTCTAAGGTATCGTTATTGGATGGTTCATAGTATAATGACCATGTAATTCATAATGTTTATGTGCTTTTGTCTTATATCCCTCTCTCTTTTCCTCTAACAGTGGCTGCTTAGCTCAAGTGGTGGGGAATGAACTGCCAGTGTAGTTCCTTAGGCAAGACCCTTTGCGCTAATGCCTGCTTTGGGAAGTGGCGGCCTAGTGGTTAGGGCACTGCGCTTGGAATCCTGAGGTTCTGAGATCAAGCCCCCACATCTCTGGGTCCCTGAACAAGACCCTCAACCCCCCCAAACTGCTCCCCAAGCGCAGCACAATGGCAGCCCACTGCTCCCCAAGGGGATGGGTTAAATGCTGAGTTATTTTCATTGCTTTGTATTTGTGATAGTATCATGACAATAAAACGCTGTAAAAAAATAAATAAATATTAATAATAGTTGCAGTTTATTTAAAGCACAGTTTGGTATCTAAATTTTTACTTTTTGAAAATTCCTCTAGTGTTTTGTTTAGAAATATAACCAGAGGTGTGTAATCCAGGTCCAGAAAGTAAAACCCCTGCCTAATTTTTCTTCATCCTGTTAACTTAACAAGGTGATTAGCCCCCAGTCTGTGATGAGAAGCTGGGAATGCACATGGTTGGAACTAATCTCTGTACTGGCTTTTCACTTTCTGGACCTAAATCATATTAGGAACCATCTGTCTCTGCAAGGTTTGGAGGTTCCCCCTTTTTGATTGTTTAATAAAGGCACATTCTGTTAGCTCCCCAAAAACTTATATATCAGGGAGGAGATTGCTAAAATCAGGCTTTGGGTTTTTTAATTTTTTTTGTTCATTCAAGAGTCAAAGAAGGTCTGGAAAATCCAACACTCTACTATCCTCTCAATTCTTTTTAAGATATTTATGTGACATGAAGAAAATTCAACATCCTTCCACTGTTTTCAAGACTACATTGAAAAACAAAGTGAGTAGAAGAAAGAAACCAAACACAAACTGTAGCTATCTCAGGGTTTCACTCAAAAACAAGATGTACTAGTGACTAACAGTTAAATTTACTACATTTGAACATGATATATTTTAATTAAGCAAACATTTCTGAATTAATATATTTTTCATTAGTTTGAAAAAATACCTCAAGCTGCTACAATATTAAAAGTGTGTTATTAGCTGGAAGGAGAAGAGCAACATAATTAGCAGAAATAATCACTACGTGAACTTAGCTACTGAAATAACAGAATTTTTTTAACCACCTCATCCAAGTGAAACAAAATTGGTTACTACAGTATGTAACTGCTAATGCTGACACCTTACAGAATTTAGAAATTTTACATAAACATTATGTCGTTCCTTACAGAAATGAATATGAACATAGAATGGACTATAACATGGACTTAACAAGAATCCAAGAGAGGAGCCTTCTATTACCATCTTTGAGTCATTCTTTTAAAAGTTGTTTTCAAGACAAAATCCTCTTCATCTCGTGGCAGTCAGGACAACAAAGCAGAGACACCTGTACCTCTTTAAACTGTCCTTCAATGTTAAGTACTGTTTTTTCCATGCAGACAAAATAACCACAGCAGACACCAGAAAGAGGCTTTTTGGAAACTTTGAAAGATTGAATGTGGTCCCCTGGCCTACGGGGATAGCCCTATTTAGATGATCCTTTCCTAATGTGGCTGACATAGGAGCTTTTATAGCAAGGTCGACAAGAGGTCTGAGGATGTCCTTCAAATCTCAGTCCATTTAAGACTGTCTTGCAGATGGGACTCTGAAAAGGGAGAGTCTG